TGGAGATTCAGGGTGGAGGAAGGAGGAACCTTCCAGACCTCCAGTGTCCCCTGGATGGCCAAGCTGGGCTCACATCTGGCACCTCAGTCGCACCACAGAGCTGCTGCTCCTTTCGTTTCCATGCTCCTCTTCACTGCCCAGTCAATCTCTTCCTATCCAGCCCCCCTTTTTTCACCCCCTCTGTTCCATTCTGATTTTTCACCTCCTCTGGGTGCTGTTTTCAGCCCTCCTGCTCTCTCCCTTGTGGGGCAGGTGCTGTCTCCCTGCTCAGAAGGCAGCTGAGCAGCAGCTGTGAGCTCCTTTTTGAACTTTATGAACTCCTGTGCCTTGGCTGGGGATTATTGGGCATCACCAATTTGAATGGACTCAATCAGCTGAAATAATGTCTGCAAAGGCAGCCAGTGCCATGCAGGTGCAGGGAGGAATGTGGAAAGAATCACAAGGAAAACAGAAGGGGATGAAATTCCCATGGGTGTAGGTGTAGTTATCCAGGGATTCATGAAAATGGGAAACCTGGCCCAAATATTTCAGCCACTTCTAGATGAAAAATCCTTTCTTTAGGATTTTTCCTCCTGAGAAGCTGAGAGGCCTCGGGAACAAAATGTAAACATTGATTATCTGCTGCTGTGGAATGCAGCAGGTGGATCTGTGATTGGTCTCATGTGGTTGTTTCTAATTAATGGCCAATCACACTCAGCTGGCTTGGACTCTGTCTGAGACACAAACCTTTGTTATTCATTCCTTTTTTTTCTATTCTTAGCTTAGCTAGCCTTCTGATGAAATCCTTTCTTCTATTCTTTAGTATAGATATAATATATAATATATAATATATAATATATAATATATAATTATTATATATAATATAATAATAATATAATAATATAATAATATATAATATATATAATTATATATAATATGTAATATATAATATATAATATATAATATATAATATATAATCCCGTAATATATAATATATAAAACCCTAATATGTAACATATAAAACCCTAATATATATAACATAATATAATATAATATAATAATATAATATAATATTACAGTATAGTATATAATCGTATATAATTAATATAATATAATATAATATTAAATATAATATAATAGTATAGTATAGTATAGTCTAGTATAGTATAGTGTAGTATATAATAGTATATAATTAATATAATATAATAGTATATAATATATAATAAAATAATAAATATAATAATATACAATATATATAATTTGATATAGTATATATTATAAAATAACATATATCATTAATATATAAAATAAATATATAAAATATATGTATAATAAAATAATAAATCAGTCCTTCTGAACCATGGAGTCAGATCCTCCTGCCTCACCCTCAGACCCCAGTGAGCAGGGTCACACAGGGGCTGTGTGGATGTGTCCTGTGCCATCCTTGCCTGGCATCCCTCCCCAGCAGCCCCTGGACCTGCGGTGCTGCTGTAGCTCCCAGAGCTGTTGTTTTCCAGGTCAGTGCACTGTGAGGCAGAGAGCAGCTCCCTGGCTCTTGCCCCTGTCACATTGCATCGCTGTGTGAGGCGCCAGCCCCTCGCATCCTGTCGCTGACAATAAGGAATCCTCTGGCACTGCAGCTCCTGGCACGGCCCCTCCTGTGGGTTCTGTCTCCCCACCCACATCTGGCCCACTGGGGGAGGGTTAGCTCTGTTTGCTGGCTAAAACTGAGCCTGGCATGGAGTTTGGGCTGGGATTTTTCAGTTTTGTGCTGTTTTAGTGCTGTTCACATCAAGCAGGGGAGGATTCTGCCCCAAACACTGCTGTGGTTGTGGTTGTGCTTGGCTGGGCAGCACCAGGCATGGGATGGGCTCCTGTGGGTGCTGAGGTGGGGAGAGAGTGGGAGAAAGCTCTCTGCACCTTACCCATCCCAACAAACCATAATCCTCATTCCTCTCTCTGAGGAGGAACCCAGAGGGAGGCTGAGCTCCAAGTGCTGGATTTGGTCACTCTTCCACCTCCCTGCCAGTGTGACATGGGTGCACAGGGAGAGAGAGGAGCAGGGCCCATGGAGCTGACCTGTAGGATTTGGATGATCCCGCAGTGAGGCAGATTGGGATTTTATGCCAGGATTTATCCCAGGCCTTGGGAGGCAGCTGGTTAGGTTGGAGTGGGGAAGGGTGGATGGAAATCAGGGTGCTTGGTTACATGGCAGCCAAGGAAATGGTGGCTTGGAGAGAAGGAAAAGGAAACAGGTAAAAGATCCTGGGATGTATCACCCTGCACCTGTTGGACTTCACCTGCTGATCAATAGAAATGGGATTGCCCAGACAGATTTTCTTACTATCATTTCTTTTGGATTATTCAAAGGAAAAAGCTAATGAATGAAATTATTAATCCTGTATTTTCCATTGGGGAGGGTAGGACAGGGGAAGCCACACAAACCCTTGAAGGTGTGAGGAGCTTGGGCAAACCCTGGAAGCATTTCCATGGCAGGCATGTTTCCAACAGCAGGCTGTTCTGTGCACAAGTGTTCCTCTCCTCCTGCCCTGGACTGCAAGCCTCATAGCAGGTTGATGTTTCTGTGTTTGCCCCTAGGGGACAGGAAGCTCTTTGTGGGCATGTTAAATAAGCAGCAGTCTGAGGATGACGTGCTCCGGCTCTTTGAACCGTTTGGGGTCATTGATGAATGCACGGTGCTCCGTGGACCTGATGGGAACAGCAAAGGTGTGAACCCACCCTGTGTGTGTGTGTGTGTCCTGCCCTTTGTCCCTGCCCTGGGTGCTGCTCACCAGCCTCAGCTTCACCTTGGGGCACCCTGGATTTGGGGAACCCATAAAGCAGGCAGGAACAGGGAGCAGGGCAGGATCCCTGTGCTGCCAGGAGGGGTTGGGGAGGGTGGGCAGAGCAGGAGGGAGGCAGAGCAGGATGAGCAGCTGAGCTGTCACTGCTCTGTCCTGAGCCTGTCCTGTCCAGCTGGGGCTGCAGGTTGAAGTGTTTGTACTCAGTCCACAGAGAATTTGGGGAAGAGGTGATCAGGGGCGAGGGTGGAGATGGTGTCATCATCTGCAGAATATATCATTGAATTAATAATTTGAGACCCTTCCTCTTTTTTCCAGGCTAGAGGACTTGGGATGAGGCATCCTTTTTGTTCCCTGCTTCCTTGGGGTGGCTTTCCTTTGCCTTACCTGAGATACAGACACTGTCTCTTGAGTGATGGCACTTTCACAGCACTCCTGTCACTGCAATCTCCTGTGCTCTTTCTGTCCCTTTCCAGGCTGTGCTTTTGTAAAGTTCTCATCTCACACAGAGGCTCAGGCAGCAATCCACGCCCTCCATGGCAGCCAGACAATGCCCGTGAGTATAAGGCCAGGGGACCTTTCCTCTTCCTCATCCTTGTCCCATTTCCCTGTTCCAGGCACCTCCCCACACTCTCCAAAAACCCCAGCAGGTTCAGCAGCAGTGTTTGGTGTGGCTGGGAGCTGTGTGTGTGTGTGTGTGTGCTCCTCTCAGTGACCATCCTGTGCCCTGGGCTGCTCTTTGTGCCTGTGTTCCTCCACACTGGGAGGGACAGCACTCACAGCTGTAAAAGCTGGATAAAAAGAGAACCAAAAATCAGGCCATGATTTTGTCTTAGAAGCAGCCCCCTGTTCAAAACTGAGCAGGGTGAAAGCTGACAGTTCAGCCAACATGGGTGCTCAGGGCTTCAGTGTGTGAGCTCTCCTTGGCTGCTCTGACTCAGGCAGCAGAGGAGACCCCTGGGGTGGGCTGGCTGTGGGTGGGAGCCCTTTGTGCCTGTGTGGGGTTGTGTGGCTGGAGCTGTGCACGTGGGGCTGCAGCTGTGGCCTCATCTCTGGCAACCTCCAGCCTGAATTTGGGGCCCCTCAGGGACAGGACAGTGCAGCCAGGGAATTGCCAGGAGCTGCTCTGGCTCCACCAACCTGAATTTGGGGTACCTGATGGACAGGACAGTGCAGCCAGGGAATTCCCAGGAGCTGCTATGGCTCCACCAACCTGAATTTGAGGCACTTGATGGACAGGACAGTGCACTCCTGCAGCCAGGGCATTCCCCGGAGCTGCTCTGGCTCCACCAACCTGAATTTGGGGCACCTCAGGGACAGGACAGTGCACTCCTGCAGCCAGGGAATTCCCAGGAGCTGCTCTGGAAATGTCCAACCTCAGTTTGGGGTACCTGATGGACAGGACAGTGCAGCCAGGGCATTCCCAGGAGCTGCTCTGGCTGCACCAAGCTCAATTTGGGGCACCTCAGGGACAGGACAGTGCACTCCTGCAGCCAGGGCATTCCCAGGAGCTGCTCTGGCTGCACCAACCTGAATTTGGGTCACCTGATGGACAGGACAGTTCACTCCTGCAGCCAGGGCATTCCCAGCTCCAGGAGCTGCTCTGGCTGCACCAAGCTCAATTTGGGGCACCTCAGGGACAGGACAGTGCACTGCTGCAGCCAGGGAGAGCTGCCCTGGAAATGTCCAACCTGAATTTGGG